ACAACGAAGAAAAAAAAAAAAAGATCTTAAAGTCTCAGTAAATACATTAAATCAATAACAATGAACTTCATATCCAGACTACCAGAGAAAGCATGATTGTAATCAGTCAAACGTGATTATTTTAACATTTCACAGTATCACATATCCAGGTCGCATACAACATTAAAATCAATAAAAATGAAAACTTTAGGCTCAAAAAGGCAAGAACTGAGAGCCCTCTTTCCAAATAGTGGTCCTCCTATCTGAAACTAAAAACTAAAAAACAACAATCTCTTCAAAAAATTCTTGAAGCATCAGAAAACCAGGCCCAAAACAAAGCTCATCACGTAAAACTCTTCACAAAAGATGCAAAATTGTAAGTAAAAATTAAGCAGGGGCCAACTGATATAAATTTCTTCAAGAATTCTTTCAAGCACACCTACCAGGTAGAGATCAAACTGATAACGTGAAAGAAAATTCAAATCCTATGCTCATATTGAACAAGGAAATATCAACATGGGGTTGAAATGAATTTCATCAAAAAAACACATAACAATGTATTAACAAAGCAATAAATCAAAGATTTCAACTTTACGACAACAACATACTCCGTGTAGTCCGATAAAGTGAAGTTTGACGAGGGTAGAGTGTTCGGAGACCTTACCCCTAACTTAGAGATTGTTTCCATAGACCCTCAGCCCAAGAAAAACAAATCAAAGAATCACATATCCGGCTACAACACAAAGCAACTTAAAAACAAAAAATTTAAGCCAATTTCTAAGCTCAAACTAAAGAAGAAAATCTAAACATCAGAGTCAAATTAAAACGATATTCTCAATCAGGTAACAGAACAAACAAAACCTTAAGCTCAAACCAGACAAACCCAATAAAAGATTGGACTCAGTAGAGCTAAATTCCTTCAAGAATCACAAAAAGTTCAAATTTTTCAGCTCAATTTCAAGTAAAATAACTAAACATCAACAGAAATGAATCAAAACCCACAAAAAGTTCACATTTTTAGCTCAATTATAACGATTACCAGCATTTCCACAGCCAACCATGAGTACCCTTGAAGAGGTAGAAACACAATGGCGAACATAAGGACGAAGAGCAGAGTAACATTGATACCAATCAAAAGAGCCTGCTTCTTGAACATACCGGGTATCCCAGTAAAGGGCATCACCATAATTGTATGTATTGCAAGATGACACATCACGCAACATCATGTCTTTTTTCAGATTTTGGGTGGTTTCCGGTGAAATGAACGGCGGAGAACGCCGTGTTTTCGGTGGAAATTTGGGACCTTGTGTCTCAAATGTGTGGAGGTGGAAGAGGGACAAGAAGTGAAGTTTACGCGTGGCTTTGTGGTAGTTGACTAAGCAAGTTTTTATAGTTATATTCCCTCCCTTCACTTTTACTCGTTCATGATATAAATAAATAAATAAATAAATATAAATACATAATAGTTACTTGTACTTAAATTGTCTTGCTTTTTTTAATTTATTTAAAAATAAAATTTTCTTTTATTTTATATTTTAACTTTTGACATGATATATTTAAGATTACGAAATTTAGAATTTTTTGCGTTATAAATATCTTTTATTTTAAATTATAGTTGTTTTTTACTTTAAATTATATATTAAATCAAAATCAGACAAATTAATAATAATAAAAAATATATATAAAGTCTACATTTTATCATAATATCTATATAATTAGTGTATAATTTAGTGAACTTGAGAAGTAAATAGTTAATGTTAAGAATAAAATAAAAAAGAAACTAATGTTCATTTAATATACTAATAATAAAAAAGTGAAAGTAAAAAGTATTTTTAATATATTTAAATGAATAAAAGTGAATGAAAAGATTAGTAAGCTAAAATTAATTTTTCTTATAATATTTTAATGAGTTGATGTAGGAACGCGGTACGCCTGTTATGAGTTTTATTGTATTTGGAAAAATTATTTATATATTTAAATATATTTTTCACTTTAGAGTTTTGCTAGGAAAAAATTAATTGAAATGTTGATAGAATTAATTTTCCAAACTTAGCTATAATTTTAATCAAGTTTTTTCTGAGAAAAAAGGAAGGTGAAAACTATGTAGGTTGAGAAGGACCCAGAGTTATTTTACCAAATTTCTCCAAAAAATAAATGTTTTGTTGAGTAATAATAGAAAATATTCTTTTGATATTATAGGATGTTGTAAGAGTTAAATGACTAAATTATTTTAATCAATTTTTTGACGAATAATATTGAGATATTATGAATTTAAGGAAATATTTATATTTTTTAGTTAAATTTTAAGAAAAGAAAGTAAAGTACAATGCTTGAAAAGAATATAATATTGAAATATTTTATTGAATATGATATTAAAATAATTTGTTTTGGACGTATGAGAGAGGTCTCCCTAATAAAAAGTTTTGTAACTTCAAATAATATTTGAGCTTATTGAAAAAATAAAACTATTAAATATTTCTGCTATAAAATGAATTTTATTCATAAATGACGAAAGCTTTTAATTCATTTTAATAAAAAGACATTTATATGAAAGAAAAATATTTTCTAGATATAAAGGTAATAAAATCCTAAAAAAAATAAAAGGTGATAGTACTTATTTTGCTTGAGGATGACATTTCTCATCATAGCGAAACACAAGTCACGCAAACATGATGTAATTACTTTCACCTTGACATATTAATTCAATTCTTGACTGTTAGGTACTTAAAACTTTAAATCATTTTATATTTAAAAATATTTTTTTATTTATGTACTTTTTCATATTTTATTTTTAATTTAATTATTTTAATATTTAAAATATAAAAATAAATAAGAGAATAAAATTTTAATATTTATGATTTAAAATATGTGATTATAAATTATTTTTCATCTTTCTGTATAGTTTTGCACGATAAAGTTATTTGATTACTAATTTACTTATATTGGCAAAAGGTTGGTGTAGCTACATAGTTGACATGGCTAGTTGAACCTTTTTTAATCTAGAAAGAGTATATATACAATACATAGAAAATAAATATACATTATTTTGTAAAATATATTAAATTTCTTAGCTGAATTTCTAAGTTTTAACACTAATACACTAACATATAATTATCATAAAATAATTAAATTACGTACAAAAATAATTAAGCAATATTCATCACATCAATTTACGATATAAAAATCTTTTTTTTTTAAGGTTTTCATCCGATGTTCAAAGCCCATATTAGAGAATCGATTAAATTTGAATCGCGCTCTAGAGGATTCATTTGAAGGTAATGCTCCAAATAAGATATTCTCATATTCAGAGCTCAAACCCAAAATATATGTTAAGGATGAAGCAGTCTCGCCTGCACCACTGTGGTTATGGTGGTAGGTATAAAAATCTTATTTGATTCTTTCGCATACAATTTCACATAAAATCTGGCAAAGAAAGTACTAGCTAGTTTTCCTCAAGTAACACACATCACCCTTACTTGTTCATATGCCAACACGTGTACACCAGTCTCATGGTACGTGTCACACCCAAATTTCATCTACCGCCATTGCTAAGAGCTTAACTACATCAAAACTTAATTACTCTCATCCCTCACTATTTTACTACGTGCACCAAAAAAAATAAATGCAGAGACAAGCAGAAAGGAAAAAGGAGCAAGAAGAAGAAGAAATTAGAGACGAAAAGGAGAAGAAGAATGAAAATGGAACTCCACTAATGGCGTTGAACCACGTGTCCAGACTTTGTAAAAATGTGGAAAAATCAGTGGAGTTTTACACTAAAGTACTTGGATTCGTGTTAATTGAGAGGCCGCAAGCTTTCGTTTTTGATGGTGCATGGTTGTTTAATTATGGAGTTGGGATTCATCTGGTTCATGCCAAGGATAACGAAGACGATAAATTGACTAATCATACTGATAATCTCGACCCAATGGATAACCATATTTCTTTTCAGGTTTCATTTCTATTTTTTGATTCTTTATTTCAAACCCATAAACTATTTAAGTCGATCTCTGCTGAACAATATTTCTAAATTGGTGCAGAGCGAAGATATGGAGGGAATGGTGCAAAGGTTGGAGAAATTCAAGATAAAATACTTAAAGAGAACGGTAGGAGAAGAAGAGGGAGCAGCCATCGATCAACTCTTTTTTAAGGATCCGGATGGATTTATGATTGAGATCTGCAATTGTGAGAATGTGAAGCTCGTACCTCAACGTTCAATTGGTCGAATCAAGTTCCCTTCTGATCGTCATAATCCTCCTGTTGAATTGGGAAATGATGATTCCAAAACTTAAAAAGAGTGGGTTTTGGCGCTAGTTTATTTTCTTCCTGTATTCTGTTGTTTTCAATTTGAATTTAGCTTCTAATTTTAGATCATTCAAGCTTCGAGCATGTCCTCATAAATCTGTTTTTAAATTTTAAAATACCAACTCAATAATCGTATAACCGGAGGTAAGGTTGAACCATAGAAAAAAACACAGTGCTAGTAGTGACTTAAAAAAAAATAGGTACTCCTTTGTTTCAATTCAACGTATGTGACACATTTATTTCGAGATTCAAATTTGTATTTTTGAACGTAAATTTCTTTTATATTTTTATTTTGGTTTGGTAATAATTATTGTGACTTATATTACTTAGTTTGGGAGAGAAGTTTTTATTTTAAAAAATAAAATCAATTTTTTAAATAAAAAGTAGGGAGGCTTATTTTTTATTTTAAACTTTTTTAAAGTTATTTTAAGTTATTTTTAATTTTGTCAAATATTCCTAAAACCTAAAAGTTAAAAATGATTTAAAAGTTTGATCATTTGAGTCCATCTAAGTCGGGCTCTGAGGAGAACATTTTATAACCAAAAGTCATATAAGCTATGATTTAAAAGTTTTGATCATTTAAGTCCATCTAAGTCGGCTCTGAGGAGAACATTTTATTACCAAAAGTCATATAAGCTATACATAGGAGTGGCAAACGAGTTGAATTGAATTTGAGTCGATTAAAAATGATTTAAATAAAAATGAATAAAGCACTCGATTCGATTCATATTTTAAATAGATAAAAATGAGTTACTAATGAATAATATGGGTAAATATGGATACCTATATTATAATAAAAATCTTGTTAAAAGCTTTAAAAACAAAAAAATAATTTTTTAAAAAAGTTTTTTTTACCACCACCCCTAATCACCTTTTTTCTTTTTTGTGAATGAGCATTTTTTATCCATACTATTCATTTAACTATTCACTTTTAAATGGGTAAATATGAGTATTGTTCGTTTTTATTCATTTTTAAATGAGTTGGATACCCAATCCATTTAAAATAGGTAAATATGAATGGATACCCATATAAATTACTCATTCTGCCACCTCTAGCTATTTACATAGCTTGTCAACTTGCAACTTTCATAGAAATGGTTTATTAACTATACAATGTATTTTTTACTTGTATATGAGTTATATACACTCATCATATATTATACGTTCAAAAGGTTGAATATAGCTTAAATATTTTTTATACGTTCAAAAGGTTGCATATAGCTTAAATATTTTTTAAGTATACAGTGATTATTAAATTTCAACTAATCAAAATTACCTTTAAACCATTCTAAATTTTAGATTGAAACTTTCTTGATGTTTTGAGGAGGTGGTGGGAGGGAAAAGAAATAGAAAAGAAGAAGCAGAAGCAACATGGAGGACGAATAAGTCGCCGGAGTCGCTAGTTCAATTTTTGGGTAAAAAAGGTCGAATGGTCATTTTTATAATAATAAAGGATTTATTTTTAAAAAATGGTTATTTCTCATATATAAAATTTAACTTAACAGATTTTTTTTTAATTTGTCCAATTTTAAATAATATATTACCTACACGTGCTTATCGTTCTAAGCAAATTTTAGATGATACGACGAGGGTGATAGATGTAAGTTGTAACTAATCTACAAATAAGTGAAGTTTAAATTAAAAAGAATAAAGTATACAGTTATGGATATTATAGTACGTGATTCATAATATGTATGCGTGAAATGACTTATAAAGGTGATATATACAAGATTAACCTTTATTTGTTATTGTGTATGAAGTCTTGATTTTTTGTATACCCTCATGATTTTGATCGACCTGTTGAGGTTCAATTTGGCATTACAATCTTTATCCTGAAATGTATGATTTAATGGAACACTTCTAAGATTATCAAATATTATGATATTAATTGTGTTCATTGATCGATCTTTATTTTTCTTCAAGGCAAGAATATGATGATGAACTCAAGTTACAATAAGAAGATTGTGAATATGGTAAATGATTTAGGATAATATATATTATATATTGCAATCTACTCTAAGCTTCATTAATCGAAATAATGTATATTCATAGCAGTTATATAGCAATCAAACTCTACGTTGATCATATAGTCTAATTATTATGTATGAAAGTTACATTAGAATTGACACAGAGTGGGAGACGTTGAAAATTAAAATGAAAAATAAAATAAAAAAAGTATAATTATCCAAGTAAAATACAGCTCAAAATTAATATTACAAATCTTTAGTTCAAAACATAAGGTGTACAATAATATACTTTTGGTACACAACACAAAATTTTCATTTTTTTAAAACTTAATATACAATAGTATACTTTACATATAATATTATACAATCACAAGATGTATTTGTACGCCGCATACAATAGCATACAATCTTATACAGTACTATTATATAAAATATCTATTCCGGTTTTTCAATCGACTTATCAAAACACTTATTTTCCACCTTACTTCATAATGAAATTAAACCCTATTATTGTTAACAATAAATTCTTATTACTTATTGTTCATCTCACTTCATAATGAAACGCCAATCTATCTATGTATAATTATAACAGTGTTTTATAGAGCTTTTATTAAACATAAATATCTATTTACTAAAATTATCTACTTATTCACCTTATATATAATTAGATAATAAATCATGTTGGAGAAAACAAAATTCATTACAATTTCTCTTTCTAAACCATCTAAAGTAAGAATTTGGCCTCTTTTTGTGCATAGAAAATAAAATATGAGCACCAATGTTGATGACATGACATACATAGCCAAAAGATATTATTTTGTCTTGATCTTTAAGATAACTAGATATAGGACCCCGTGCCAGCACGGGGCCCAATATATGTTACTGTTTCTGTTTTAATTTATGTGGTACATATGAAATTTGAAGTGAATCAATTTTTTAGTATGTTTTTATATATTTTAAGTTGCTAATTATTTGTATTTAGAGTATGTTTTACGTAAATATATTAGAAATCACAATAATTAACAAGTTAATATAAAAAAGAACTTATAAAAAATTCATTGACTTTTGAAATTTCATTTGTATCACATAAATCAGGACCGAGTAATATATATGAAAATTACATAAAACGTACTATAACTCAGAATAATTAGCAACTTAAAATATCTATATATCTATATTTCTCTCAATTTATGCGGCATAGATGAAATTTTGAAAGTTAACAAAAACTGTTTATATGTTTTGAAATATTTTAAGCTATTAATTATTATGATTTATAATACTTTTTACATAAAAAAATTATTTATATAAAGTATAAAAGAGAAAATTTAGAAAAAGGAAACATAAATGTCAGCAGGAGTCCAATTTATGTTAATTTCTATGTTTTAATTATTGTAATACCGATTGAATTTGGAGAGCCAACTAAAAAATTTTAAAGGTTTTTTTTTATAAATTTTAAGTTGTTAATTATTATAATTTATAATATTTTTATTAATTTTAAACCAATATATGTTTTTCTCTGTCTCAATTACATGAGACATATGGAATTCGGAGAGTCAACTAAAATTTTAAAATATGTTGAGTTGTTAATTATTATACCTTATAGTACTATTACGTGATTTTCAAATAAAATATGTATTTTTTAATTTCAATTTATATGTCATTGATATAATTACATATATTAAGTAATGAAGAATTAATGTGTAAATTATGTGACACCTATGAATTTTGGAGTGTAAATCAAATTAGTTATATGAATTTGTTTTAAAAAGCGGTTAATTATTATAATTTATAATACTTTTTATATATTTTTTAAATGATATATATATATCTTTATGATATTGATATTAGTATTATAATAAATTAAATTTTATTATTTTAAATTTATGATCTCAATTGTCAGCCTATGCCACATTATAAAATGTTCCAAAGTAGATATCAGATTTACAAAAATGTCGATGCCAGCTAAAGTAATAAAATAACATCTAAGG